GAGAGAGAGAGAGAGAGAGAGATAGAGAGAGAGAGATCTGGATCAGATTGGGCCACACAATAGCTCCCTGCAGCTAAAATGCCTTGGAAGGGGTGGGGCCATAATCTGTGTGCATCAGGGCCCCTTCTACCCCAGCTAGAGCTGCACAATATAAAGGTAGGCTTCACACTCACTAACTGCCCTTGGGTAACTGCCTGTGGGCTGGGACTTGGACCCAAGGCATTGAGGTGGGTCCAGGAGCAGCTCTGCTCAACTTTGGTCCCTCTGGAGAACAGAGCATAGCCCATGGTTGCTCCTCCCTGCAGGACAACTGTGAGGGCTGAGGCTGTGAGGGCTGAAGGGGAGCAGCTCAGTACTTTAACTGTCTGGGTCAGTGCTGATGCTCCTGGCCAGCTTGGGCCGTTCGGCAGAGGTGGGCACCCCAACACTAGGGCACAGGACAGGGAGGCACCGTGCTGGGACCTGCCTGCCCTCCACAGACAGGGATGGCCAAGCACAGGTGGGGTACTGGGCCTGGGCACAACCCAACCCTGCCAAGCTGACTCTGTCGCTGACCTTAGGGATCTATGGTCCTCCAGCTCTGGCCATGGGCAGGATCAAAGGTCTCAGAGGAAGAAAGTAGCTGGGGGCAGGAGTAGCTGTGGGGAGAGGCCAAGGAGGAAGGCAAATTAGCCCAAAGATAGCCCCTCGCTTTGTTCTTCTGGAAACCAGGTTCTCTAGACTAGGCCTGCAGGACAGAAGTGGCACGTAGGACAGAAAACACCACTGGAAAGAGCGGGAGGCCTACTGGGGTGGCCAGGACTCAGAATAGGTGCCTGCGGCTGGTGCCGGGAGGCAAGGGGTTAAGGCAGTGGTGGGGGGTAGCCTATGGAAGGAGGACACACCTGTACGCAGGGGCGGCGGGCGGGGCCCAGGTGAGGAGCCTGCGCTGCCTGCTTGCGGAGAAGGAAGGAGGAAGAGTGGAGGCCAGGGCGGGTCTCAGGCTGCAGGCCGTGGAGTCCTGGGCCTGACTCCCCTTCCTCTCAGCACTCACTCTCTGGGGGGCAGGCGGCCCGGTGACAGGTAAAGGCCACTGGGAGAAGGGTCTTGGGGCTCAGCTAGGGACTACAGAAGGGAGATAAGGGCTGGTGAATTGGTATGTGGGGGCAGAGACAGGCTGTGTGGGTGGTGGAGGAAGGGGTTCAGAGGCAGAGAAGAGGTGGGCAGGGGTCTTCTGAAGCCCCACCTGGGCCTCAGTGGATCAACAGCTCAGGGTGGGGCTGGTGGCAGGCTGCAGGCCTCACCCGGAAGTGTCCCCAGGGAAGCGGGTGCTGGGGGGATGGGACCCAGGGTTCTGCAGCCTCTCCACCGGGAATCTGGGCTTAGGACTGCCTGACCTGGAGGTGGGCAGGCTGGGTGGGGGCCCCCGTCTTACCCAGCAGTGTTTGGGTGCTGGTTGGGAGTCTCTAATACTGCCGGGTAATGATGGAGGCCCCTGTCCGTGTCACCGACATCCTTTACCTCAAGCCCCCAAGCCCCAGCCGACCGCAGCCCCCCTCCTGAACCTCCCTACACAACCTGGAATCCCTTCATCTTGTGTGGAGGGGGCTGCAAAGGAGGTAGCTCCTGGTTGGCTGGTTGCCCACTGAAGGGACACAATGGTTCCGGGCCCCTCCCCCAACCCAGTGTGACTTGTCATCTGGTGGATCCGGAACCCACAGCCGACCTTGAGCTTGGGATGTACTACTCTCAAAAGACTTCACCTGGCCCGCGGCCAGGGTCCCTGTAGCAACTGGTCAGCTCTAGTCCGGAGCTGCATGTCAGCCGGCTCTGGGTCCATCTTCCAGTACAGTGTTGGATGGTCTAATTGTGAAGCTCCTAACACTGTCTGGTAAAGATGGCCCCCGGGCTGGTTCCCTCGGCAGTGACCTTCAGGGATCCCTGAAGACCATGGAGGCCTCCTGACCAACAACCTCTGACCTTTATCCCTCTGGATGGGGGTGTAAATCACTAGGAAAAGGGGAACAATGGAAGGAGACAAAATGGCTGCCTCTAGAGTCACAACAGCATGATTTGAAACATATTTGCTCTCCAGGCACCTCTACTCTCTTCCCGCCTGGGGAACGTGAACCAAATAAAGTGTGAATGGAACTCATGGTAGACTGATTCAGGTTACTTGACCTGTTTTTTGTTTAATTGTCGGCCTCGTCTTAGGCTCCCAGCTCCTGAGTGGGGCTGCCACATCTACTTCATCTCCCTGTCCAGCAGGGGAAAATTAATCTTTTCTTCACAAATCTAAGAAACTGAAGAACTCAGTCCCTCACCCTGTAACTCACCTCCCCTACCATGCACTTTATAATTCCTGTACATACTTCTGCACCCAGTGTTTAAGGTTCCAGACGTTTCTTCTCTCCCTATAAGGACAAGGAATGGGACACGGGCTATAGTGGCATCAAGTAGAGCGGTGGCTTCATTTCCCTGGTACTTGAGATTCAGTGAGTGCTGTCTTGGGAAGGAGATAAGGTGGCTTACATAGGGACTGAAATCAGGCACCTGTTTGGGTCCCAAGCTGTGGGAGTGAAGAGTGAAGAGCCCACCTCCACACAAGTAGAGCCGTTTCACCTGTGAAACAGGCTCCTCACACCTGGTGATTGTGAAATTGCTAGTGTGGGTAGCCCACAGCAGGCAACATGACCCACTGGCCTTTGGACGCCTAAGTCCCTCAATAAGTACAAATGGTCTTCCTCACAGCTACACGGAACTCTGTTACCAAGGAAGCAGCTCATGTTGGGGTCATCACATTTTTGGTCTAGCTCAGCAAAGCCACAGCTGCTCCAGCCTTAAAAAAGATGTTCTCAAATCAAAGGGTGATGTGATAGAAATAGAGGGTGGAGTGGAAAGTGCAGCTGGGCCTCAGGATTCAAGGGCCCACTGTTTGCAGCTTGGGTCCTGTTTCGGATGACTGCTGGGCTTCGAGGCCCAGGCCCCCTTTCCTTCACTGCCCTGGCCAGAATCTGTGCGCCCCCTGCTGGCAGAGATGAATAGACCCTGGAGTGTTAGGTGAGCACAGGCATGCGTGCCTCCCGTAACCCTGCTCAGACACGAGGCCTTCACTTGAGCTTAAGTAATAAAAATTTATTGAGAATTCCTTGGATGGTGGTTATCGCCTCCCAACCTCAAGGGAGGAACCAACACTGTAGGAAATCACTGAGAAATCACACACTGTCCCAACAACCCCAGTCAACACTGGAAGGAAGAAAAGTCACTCCCCTGAAAACCAGTCAGTATTCATTCATCCGAGAAGGGTTGGGAGGACAGATGCAGAGGGGACCATGACATGATACTAGGGGCAGGGTGGGGGTGTGCTCCTCAAACACCAGGGGAGAAACAGATCCACTTCTTCTCTGGGGGTTAAATGCTTGGTCACCAAGTTCATTTCTTAGTCTTGATGAGGCTGTCACTGTGGAAAGGCAACAGGTAAGGGAGACAGATAACATTATTGTTAGAAGACACAAATGTGAGAGGCACAGCACCTTGGCTACTCCCTCCTCAACCACCCTCCCTGATACAAGGTTAGTGTGGGGATGTGAGAAAGGTTAGGTGGTAAGGAGGAGGCAGGTACTGGGAGATGAGCTACAAGACCCCAAAGAAACAGGATGCATCAACAACTTACCTTCCCCTGCAGATACCAGGTCACCAGATGAACAGGAAACACAGAAAAAGAAGAAAAATGCGGAGATGATTTGATAGTTAAGGCCCCACCCACTCTAAACTCTCCTTTGCTCTCAAGAGAAAAGGACAAATGGGTTGGAAGCCAGGAATCTCAGGCTCTGGAAAGGGAGAGGCTGGCACTCTTCACCACTGCCACTTCTCTTTTCCTAGCATCTTTCCATGCCCCATGGCAGCAATTTTAGGGTTCCCAAGTTAAGGATATTGAATATTATCTTTCACCACTTTTCAGTTAGACAAAACTTTACAATTAAAGTGCTTTTTACATGAATAATCCTATTTGTTATAAAATCAATTCTATGGAATTCAAATTAGAAATGTCAACCACCCACACTTTTTCATCTTTGGTTCAGATACATGGTGTCTTTCAATGGTTACAAGAGTAAGCTAGTAACAGGCACTAGAGCCCAAGTGACTAGACTCAGATCCTATGTTCTGACACCCCACTGTGCAGGTCACATCTCTCACCGGGTGAAACTTTCATCCTGTAGGTTCAGCACAAGGTTGTCAGCAGTAAGATAGATACGATTCTGTGATGCGGCAATCTACGGGGCAGGAAACAAGACAGATGCTTGTATATTAAGCAAAAAAGACCTCGGTTCCTATCCTTGCATTAGATCACCACTGATGGGACACATGTGGGTTAGAACAGGGATCCAACCATGAGAATGACATGGCTCCTGCCCTCACACAAGGATCCAGAGCAGCGAGCAATTGTGATGTGTTAGAACTGTTAACAGAGGCATGAACAAAAGGCCAAGGGAACCCAGAGGAATCGTTTTTGTATGGGCGGAGACGTGTCAGAGAGGCCAGTTTGAGTAGCAGCCTGAACGAGCACGATTCTATTTCACTTGCTTCAATGTGCTTTAACTAAAAACACTCTTAACTCTCCAGGCAGCCCTGTGAGGGATGCTGGGCTGTCACACTCACCGTCTTGGAGATGTTCTGGGCTGCCCGGATCTTGCGCAGCTTGATGTAGCCTGGGTTCTTGCTCAGTGCTTCTCCAAGGTGAACAAGGTAGGGTTAAGGGTTCACACAAGGCCAGGTCTCAATCCCTTACCACTCCCCTCACTTCAGGCCTCCTCTGGGCCGTCAGATCCAAGGTTGCGCTCAGGTGGCTCGTGCCTAGTCTTACGTTGGTCCTCACCTGTGGGCCCCCCTGCAGGCAGCTGCCAGAAACTAAAGGCAGCAGCAGGAATGGAGGCAAGGCCAGCAGTGCTATTGATCTGCCTTACAGTGAGGAGCCAAGCTCAGGTACCCCACTAAGATTTCAGATCCCATTTGAAACCTCTACCCCCGGGGGAGCCAAGGATCAGAGAGCACGGAGTCGCATTCGCCTTAGTCTCATCAGCCGGCCCATGAGGGAGTATGGGGAAAGCAAGGTGCCTCAGAGGCAGGCTGAGCTCTCTCCAGCAGAAGGATATCATCTTGGCGGCCTCGGCCTCACCCTCGGCCTGCACGATCTTCTGTCGCTGTTCTTGCTTTGCTTTTTCCACCAAGAACTGGGCACGCTGGGCCTCCTGCTGGGCTGTGGTGGGAGCCAGGTGACAGATGTGAGGTGTCAGGAACCCCATCCCCCTTCCTGCACTCTCAGAAACCCTTGCTCTATTCCTCTGGTAACTCACCCACTTGTTTGGCTTCTACAGCAGCAGTGTATTCTCGGCTAAAGCTCAGCTCTGTGATGGCTACGTCATCCAGGATGAGGCTGAAGTCCTTGGCCCTCTCTGTCAGCTCTCGTCGGATCAAGAGGGACACCTGGAGGTTGAGGTGAGGAGGGGAAGGGAGGGGTGGTTTGAAGGGACTGGAGAACTGAAAGGACAGTGTGCTGCTGTGACCATCTGAATACTACATCTTTTGAAAATGGCAGAAAATTCACTAACTCCTTTTTTTTTTTTTCTTTTAGCTGAGCCATCCCGCCACCTGTTGGCAGCTCACGGCTGCTCAGCTCGGGCTGACTCGAACCGCTGTTGCTCAGAGCTCAAACTCTTGAGCGAGCTCTTAACCAACTGAGCCACTCAGCCGGCCCTCACTAACTCCTTTTTAGTTACTCACTAAAACATCTGAGTTGGAATGTACTAGGTCCAATCTTTTCAGCAGGTCACACTGACTCCTAATCTTCCACGCTATCCAGCACTTCTAACTTTGTTATTGTTTTCTCCCATGCTTTCTAACACTGACTGCTATCAAGTTGCAATCTTGGCTCTCCTTGTCTCCCACAGTGGCCATCAGTATAGCTTTTAGGTAGAAATGGAACTAGGGTCACAACCTTTTTCTAATAAGTTGCCTTTCCTAATACTCAGTGCCCTGGATCTAGGAGGGACACTATGCAGATGGTGATGGGAGCTGGAGTCCAACCTGGGCCCGCTGTGTGATCAGCTGCGAGGCATTGAACTTGGCCACCACACTCTTGAGCACCTCGTTGACAATGGACGGCAAAACTCGCTCCTCGTAGTCCAGCCCTAGGCGCTGGTACATGCTGGGAAGCTCCAAGGCATTAGGTCGAGACAGCACTCGCAGGGAGATGTTCACCATCTGCAGGTCTAAGAGTGAGGTCAGCAGTGGCTGGTCAAGGCCATGGGGGCCTCATCTGGCCTCTTAGCCAAGCACCCTTTCCCAAGCACTGTCTCCTGCATGCAATGTTGTACAGCCTGAGACTCCCCTGGTGGGAGGAGGGAAATCAGGCCAACATGTGAGTTGGCACTGGCCAAATGCATCTTTGTCCACTTGACATCTCTGCCCACAACCCCTCCACCAATAAAGCTGATCTGTCTTTTTGCCACTATTGTGTGCATCCTCTACTGTAGGTTGCATCATAATCATCTGTTTTCTTTACTAGACTATAAGGGCTTGAGGACATGAATTTGTTTTACAAATCCTTTATTCCCAGGGTCTACGGTTTAGGAAGTATTAAGTGACCTGCACTAAAAATAGTACAAAAAAGTAATATTATAGATGAGCTGCTTGCCTCAGTGTGTACACTGTGTGTGTGTGTGTGTGTGTGTGTGTGTGCGTGTGCGCGTGCGCGTAACAAATCTGGGGACTCTCGAAGGCACAGCTTCTAGGTATGGCGTAGGAGGGCACAGGTGCACCAGTAAAGAGTGGGGCCAAGTTTCTCAGGACAGGGTGTACCGGTGGATATAATTAATAAGTCAAACAGTTAAAAAAAGGCTTTGATCTAGGCAGTAAAGAAGACCAAGGACAAATAGTGGTCTCAGTGAGTTTACATTAGGGGGGAGGAACAGTTAATAAAAATGTGCAAACACAGTGTGTCCAGAATGTACTACTTTAACTCCAGAAGCAGAACTTTTATTCCTCTTTTGCATATGTGGAAACCAAGGCCCAAGAGCTCTGACATGACCATCTTCCCCTAGCTCTTGCCAGGCTCCCTGTTGACTTTGGGTAGCTCATCTGCCAGTAGCTTCCAAGTGTTCAGACCTACCTTTGGAGCCTGTGGGGGAAGAAATTTTTCTGGGTCTGGCTCGAATGTCATAGATGATGGGATACTGGAACCAGGGGATCCTGGAGGAGAGGGTACAGGGATAGGTATTAGGAGACAGCAGTTTCACTAGTTTTGCCCAGTTTTCCCTCACCACGTGATTCTTTGCCTGCCCCTTTTCTTAATGACCACAGACAGGGAGAAATTCTACTCTTCTTTTAGAGAGCAACAGTTTATGTGTTGCTGGAGTTATGGGCAGCACCTACTGTCCTGGGAGATGGGGCGAGGAAGGGAAATAGCAGAATCCTGTTGAAAGTCCCACTACAGGAGGGTTGGCGTTCAAGGGTGAAGGGTCAGGGTCAGTCCGCTTTGCCCGCCATTACCTGAAGTGAAGGCCCTCGGCGAGAATGGTGTCCTGCTGCACGCCACCGATCCGATTAAAGAAGATGGCTCTCTGTCCGCCTTCCACTGTAGGGATAGGGGTGGTAATCAGACCAGGTGAGACTACTCAGAGTACGTGCTAGCCCCTGGTGGGGCGGGGCGAGGGGGCTAATCCCTTAGCGCGGGGCCCCGGCGGGCCAAGGTAGGGGGTCTGGGGAGGGGCTAGAGGAGTCCAGAGTGCGGACGGAGGTTGCTCACCGGTGAACACGGACTCGCGGACCCCATAGGCCACGGCGCCGGCCCCCAGCAACAGCTTCAGCGCCGTGCCCATGCCTCGGGGCCCGGAGGGCAGCCGTCCAGCTAAATCCTTCAAGTTCTGGGCCATGTCTGATCCTGAGGCCGGCGGCACCAAAGGTCAGGAGGGGGTGCCAGCCCGCCTCCACCCCACTCCAGTTTAGAAATCGCAACCTTCTCACGAGGGTCCGAGGCTCAGGTGCTCGCAGGAGAAAGGGCACCGGAAGTGCGCTCCCTCCTAAACCCTCCCCCGGCCCACGGCGGACCCGAACTTCGCGCACAGGAATTACGCATTCGGAAGTCCCGCTCCTTTCTGAAACCCTGCCCTCCCAGAGAAGCTTCGGTAGTGCCAGACAGGAAGCTATCGCCATTTCCAAGCGCCCATTTTCAAAATGGTAACCGGAAGGAAGTTTGCGATTTGGGCGAGCGCGAGGTTTTAAATTAAGGATATTAGTACAATTTCCGGTTTGGTTGCAAGATGGCTGCGCCCAGTGGTGGGTTCCAACCTCGTGAGCGTCGCGGTGAGGACCGGGAACAGGACTGGGATGCTGTGGTGCCCAAGCGGCCCCGACTTGGGGCGGGAAGCAAGATGGGAGGCCGTAGGCTCATTGTGGTGCTGGAAGGGGCCAGTCTGGAGACAGTCAAGGTAATGTGGGACAAGAAAGTGGCGAGTGTGGATATTGATAGGATGGGACCCCGTGGAATGAGTGAGGGTGAGGGCCTCAGAGTGGATGGAGAAAACAGAAGTGTAACATGCATGCTTTTGGAGGAACAGTGGCCTAGTTGACTGTTTCTTGGTTTAACGTCCTGGGTTGGCAGTACGCGTTTTCTTTTGCACTTCTTGAATCCCATAGCAGCCGTCACGTCCATTTAACAATTTATTTAACCATTATTGAGTCTATTATAGTGCTCATTCTTCAGTTAATAGGTTAAATGTTACTTCCTCATAGAAATGACGCCTTTCCTGGTATAATTCAGGTCCTCCTGTTATAATCCTCTAATGAACCATTTACTTTTCCTACATAATGTTTAATTTGAGTTAAGTATTCATGCGGTTGTTTTCACTAGAAGTTTGTCCCTTCCACTAGAAGGCTCTATGAGGGCAGAGAGTAAGGTTTTAAAAATTCTCCTTATATCTCCAATACCTATTATAGAAAATGAATACACATGGTATTCATTTTGATTATTCCAAGTAGAGACTTCCAAGCTTAGTAACTACAACCCACAATTAAAAATTACATTGTGAGCCAGTACACACAACACCTGTATGAAACCAAAAGTTTTATAAACCATCACTTTCCATTACTACCTGTGAAGTACTCAGATGTTTTCTATTCTATTTTATCAAAAACTCTGGTTATAAATTACTAATAGGTTGAAACCGGATTCTTTTATTCAAGGGGTTCTTTTTCTCCTATAACTAAGATAGACTTAGTTCTTCGTCCTTTGTTCTTTTTCTGTGCTTACTGTTTGTGACCTTATTATTTCAGTTTTCCAATTAATTTCAAAGTCTATATGCCTCTTCTCCCAAACCTTTTGGAGTCATATACCCTAAAATGTTGTCAGACATAGAAATGTTCTATTGATACATAAAAACTTAGGCTTTCAAAACCTGTGTTTGTACTTAATATGTTTTTAGAATTTTACTGACCATCTTAATGCTCCTTAGGACTCCAGATTGCAATTTACAATTTCTTCTGGCTGCTGCAGATGGATCCAGCCAGATTTTTAGTGTCAAGCTTTAACCAGGTATATTTTCCAGTATGCAGAGTTGCCAGGATAAGATTCCTCAGTCATTCTCATGCCCCCGTTATTCCAGAATTATTTTAGCTTTGTGCTGGATACTTCAGGATTCTACAGTTTACAAAGCAGTTTCATATACAGAGGGTGCCAAAAAAGTGTGTACACATTTTAAGAAATGAAAAAACTATTAAAATTGTAATACTCAATGTATACTGGTAACAAAAGATTAATGCAAGTCATATGTATACATTTTTTTAGGCACCCCCAGTATAATCACTGCCTGTCAATGTCTCAGTTCCCACTTTTTCAGCATCATTTTCTTCACATTTCTGCCTTTTATTTATTCCATCTGTACGTTTGCTCACACTTCTGAAAACTCAGCTTTACTCCTGAGAGACATATTTCTTGATGAAACTACCTCTTGCAATCGTTAGAATTTTCACATTTTTCCCTGTTCAGATTTGCAGCTTTTCACTGTTAAAAGCAAACTGAGGGTAGTCACCATGTATATTTTGTCCAGTGTATACACAGTGTTCCTGTGTTAAAAAAACATTCAGCCTTGCTTATTAACCTTAGTCCTACTGGGTTCCAGAATCCCTCACCAGCTTTGCCTAATAGCCACAGGATTTAAAATTAAGTCCAGTTTAAATCATGTGAAATCACAGGTTGTGCCTTTTTCCTTTAAGATCAGTTATGGTGTAGGAGGTGTGGGAGTTGGGAGGGAGGGTAAACATAATGATCCCCTGAAGGGTTTACTGGGAACCACCCCCGTAGCTTCTGATTCAGTAGATCTAGAGTGAGCCTGAGAATTTGACTAAAATGTTTTCAGATGTTGCTGCTGCTGGTGGTTTGGGGACCACACTTTGAGAATCACTGGCCTAGGTAAAAGCAACTTATGTTGCTGTCATGTTCCCTCTTCTTTAGGTAGGGAAGACATATGAGCTACTAAACTGTGACAAGCACAAGTCTATGCTGTTGAAGAATGGACGGGACCCTGGGGAAGTGAGACCAGACATAGCTCACCAGGTAACTCCAGGGACAGAGCTCACAACTCTTTGAGCCGTTATATGGAATGTAAAGCAGCTGCGTGCTACTTCTCTGAACTATACCTTGGTGTTTGCTTCCCTTAGAGTTTGCTGATGCTAATGGACAGTCCCCTGAACCGAGCTGGCTTGCTGCAGGTTTATATCCACACACAAAAGAATGTGCTGATTGAAGTGAACCCCCAGACTCGAATTCCCAGAACCTTTGACCGCTTTTGTGGCCTCATGGGTGAGATCTTTAGGATTTAAAAGTTCAGAATGAACTTGGCAGGAGTGAAGAAAGGAGGAAGAGGGAATGTGATTGATCCCAGAACAAGGACTCTTCATTACTTTCCCTGTGCAGGGGTAAAGCCTACATGGGTTCCTGGCTGAATGAGAGTGAACTCATCAGTATACAGCTAGTTATATGCTTGACAGCTGCTTGGTCATAACATTTGAGGAGTACGGTGGATGTAAAAGGACACATGGAGCTCACCTTACCTATGGGTTTTTCTGGTTAGATTCTGGGCAGAAGTGGGGTCTCCATCTAGCTCTGACCTCTTTGTTTTCCGCCCTAGTTCAGCTTTTACACAAACTCAGTGTTCGAGCAGCTGATGGCCCCCAGAAGCTCTTGAAGGTGAGGTAGTACTACCTACTGGTTGGAGGTAGAGTTCTGAGAATGTTTCTGGGGCTTATTTTTCTTTTTCTTTAGGTAATTAAGAATCCGGTGTCAGATCACTTCCCAGTTGGGTGTATGAAAATTGGCACTTCTTTTTCCATCTCAGCCGTCAGTGATGTACGAGAGTTGGTGCCCTGCAATGACCCTATTGTTTTCGTGGTGGGGGCCTTTGCCCATGGCAAGGTAAGGTCTGGGCTTTTAAATTCCGAGAGCAGTTAGCATTTTGATCTTTGTCCTTGTAAGTTGGAAAATAGAGAATAAGAACACAGCTGGAAGACAAATGGGGGTTCCCTAAGCTGTCTTAGGGCACATCCTTTAAGGACTGCTGGCATATTTGTCAGTACTGTGCTGTTTTGATTACTGTTGCTCTGTAGCGCAAGCTGAAGTTGGAGTGTGATACCTCCGGCATTATTTTTCTTAGGATTGCTTTATTCGGGATGTTTTGTGGTTCCATACAAATCTGATGATTTTTTTTTGTTCTATTTCTTTAAAAAAATGCCATTGGGATTTTTGATGGGGATTGCTGCTGGCGTAATAATCAAAACTAGGACCTTCTTCATCCTCTGTACAAATTTGATATTAAACAGCACTGTGAAATATTAGCTCAGCCCAATTTCCCTGTCCTAAAGAAGGGACTGAGCCCGTTACAGAGTGATGGAGTCAGCTGACAGAACTGTTCTCTCTTTAGGTCAGTGTGGAGTATACAGAGAAGATGGTGTCTATCAGTAACTATCCCCTTTCCGCTGCCCTCACCTGCGCAAAACTTACGACAGCCTTTGAAGAAGTGTGGAGGGTCATTTGACAGTCGGACCTTGCTCTGAAACACAGAGACTGTTGACATTGTATCCCTTGACCTTGTTTTCAACTCACTGTTGGAAGATGACCTTCTTGCACCAAGACTGTGGGGTTTGAGGAAGCCGAGGCTGTATATTTGCTATTTGTTTATCCTATAAATAGTGTTTTGTAAACCTGGTTGTTCTTTGGGGATTTCTAAACTTAGTATTTAATGGTTTATACCATTTGTTTTCCTCAGACTTCAAGAACAGGTATTTGCAGTTTGGTTCTGGGCTTTAGCTCCAAACTTCTGCAGTTACTGTGCTCTATAAAGGAGACAGCCGTGATTATTGGAGCCATGGCAAGCATGGAGAACTGTGTGTGAAAGAAAGTGGCCAGGAATGCTAGCAGTGAAAAACCGAACAAACAGAGTGATTTTATCTGGTACAGTTCCAAGGTAGAAAAAGTGGAGCAGGTGGGGCCTTGTACCTCTCCGCTCCCCACCATGGGGAGTGGGGGTGGTAGCGGCACATATACAATCATAGTAAATTGGCAGAAGAAAAACAACAGATTCCTGGTTATAGGGGGAGAGATAAGGCAACGTGCATGGGGGAGCCCAGAGGGGAGACATGGACCCCTCTACTCCTCCCACAAGAGTTTCCCCTTTGGCCCAAATGAAGACTTGGCTGGCGGCAGAGGCACAGCTGGCAGTGCCATGTCTTCCACCCCCTAGCTTCTATGTTCTCTGTGCTCTGGGGCAAAGGAGTGCTGCAGAAAGGGAGACACGTCGTTTCTGCACCAGTCTTGCTCTAGGCCACCTGCAAGAGAAGAAATATGATTGGCAGGCCGGTTAGAGTTACTCCCTAGTCCCTGGTCTTAGCCCTTTTAAGGTTCTTCCTGGCATGTTAAGTTAGAGTAGTCAGTGCCCCATACTGTTTCCTATAAGCCAGGCTACCTTGAGATTTACCCCACATTTCCAAGACCATCTTTCCCTCCCCACAATCTATTGCTCTATTCTGTGACCTGGACGTTTCAGGTTAGCTTTAGGGATGTTTACTTACCCAGGAAATAGATTA